TGCCATCTTAAATGCTTGCTGCAGTGTTAGCCTTCAGCATCTATTGACAGGAATACCCATGTCCTTACGTGCACTTTTTGACCTTTCACCATTTAAGAAATGCTCTGTACACCTGTTCTTCATACCAAAGTGGAAAATCTCACATTTTTCCACATTATATTCTGCCACATCCACCAAGCCTGTCCAAATTCCCCTGAAAATATTTTATGACTTCTTCACAACCTCCAGTCCTTATAAATTTTCTTTTTCCGTTGTGTGGACCTCTAAGATCCATGCAGAGCAACAGCTTCTTGAACTGGAATTCAATACATTGCCCCAGTGATTGTGTGCATGTAGTGCATGTAGTGCATGTGGAATCTCAGTGATGGCTGTGCCGCTTGGGGGCAGTGCTGCTCAGAACACTATCCCGCTCAGCATTGAATCATCTGCAAAGATTGAAATATTATACTTGGTTCCTCATCTAAATATTGATATATAGTGAATGGCCGGAGCTTAAGTATTGATCCTTCCGATATCCCACTAACTGCAGTTTGCCAATGTGAGAATGACCCATTTATTCTTACTTTTTGTTTTTTGTCTGTTGGCCAGTCCTTAATCCATATTAGTACAATGTCCTCTATGCCATGTATTTTATTTGACATCCGAACTCTTGTGGGGGACCTGATCAAAAGCTTTCTGAATATCCAAATATACCACATGCACTGACTCCCCTTTATCAGTTTTGTTGGTAAATCATCAAAGGTTTGTCAACAAGTTTGTCAAGGGCAACATTCCGTTTGCAAATCCACTTTTATCTGGATGTCCATTTGTCACCTTTTTGATAGATTCTAGCATTTTCCATGCTGCAGATATCAGGCTGACAGGTCTGTAGTTTCCTGTTTTTTTACCCTTAAATAGCTGGGTAACATTTACAAGCTTCCAGTCTGCAAGAATCATTCTGGAATCTATGGAATTTGGGAAGATGATTACCAGTGCAACGACTATCCAGGGTTTCTCAAGGTAAACGAGTAACACTGTGAAAATACATTCCCTAGATTTTAGTCAGATAATTAGGCAGAGTTGGTCCAAACATGGACAAAAGAGTTGAACTTAAGAGGAGGAATAAGGATAATGTGCTTTGACATCAAGGCTGTATTTGACTGAGGAGCCCTAGCCAAATTGGAGTCAATGGAAATTTGGTGGAAAAAATCTCTGCTGATTGAAGTCATACTGGTACAAAGGAATATGGTTGTGGTTGTTAAAGCTCAATCATCTTAGTCCCATGATGTCACTGTAGGGGTTCCTCAGGGTAGTGTCCTAGGCCCAAAATTTTCAGCTTTTTATCAATGACCTTCCTTCTATCATAACGTCAGACATGGGAATGTTCACTGATTATACTATGTTCAGCACAACTCAAAGTTCCTCAGATACTGAATCAGTCTGTCTAAATACAGCAAGACCGAAATTCAGGCTTGTGCTGACGATTGATAAGTAACACTCGTGCTATACACTTGCCAGGTAATGACCATCTCCAACAAGAGAGAATAACCATCATCCAATGGCATTCGATGACATTATCATCACTGAATTCTCCACTGTCAGCATCCTAGGAGCTACCACTGATCAGAAACTGAACTGGACTTACCAGTAAATACTGTGGCTACAAAGCAGACCAGAGGCTGAGAATTCTGCAATAAGTCTGGTGAACTTTCAATGTACTCCCTCTGTGGCAATTATTATCTTTTCTGAGGTATGAAGATGAAAATTGCACATAGTACACCAGGTGTGGTCTAACCAGGCTCCTATATAATTGAAGCAAGACTTCATTATTTCAGTCCCTAAAACTGCTTGAAATAAAGGCTAACATTCCATTTACTATCCTAATTGCATGCTACACCTGAATGTTAGCCTTCACTGTCTTAGTGACAAGGACATTCATGTCCTTTTGCATATGTACACTTTCTATCGATTCGACTGGATGAGTGTAGCTCCAGCAACACTCAAGAAGCTCAATACCATGCAGTAAAAAGCAGCTGACCTAATTGGTACCACATCCACCACCTTCAACGTTGACTCTTTCTATCACCAAGGCATAGTGGCAGCAATGTGTACCATTTATATTGCATTAAATCACCAAGCTTTCTTGGACAGCACTTTCCAAGCACTTGGCCTGCACTACCTAGAAGAAAAAGGTTAGCAGATATTTGGAGACACAATTACCTGCATGTTCCCCTCCACGCCACAGACCATCTTGACTTCAGACTGTTTCACTGCGGACTACCAACACCACACGGGCTTCAGTGGTTCGACATGGCAGTTCACCAACAGTGATAATTATGGATGAGCAACATATATTGTCCTAGCCAGCGATGCCTACATCTCATAGAGTAATATAGCATGGAAACTGATCCATGCTGACCATGGTGCCCACTCAATTGCCCGCATTTGGTCCATATCCCTCTAAAGCCTTCCCATCCATGTACCTATCCAATTTTGTTTTAAATGTTGCTATTGTATCTGCATCAACCACTTTCTCTGGCAGTTCATTCCATATATGCACCACTCTCTGCGTGAAGAAGTTGCCCCTCAGGTCTTTCTTAAATCTTTCCCCTCTCAGCTTAAACCTATGCCCTCTAGTTTTTAATTCCCCATCCCTGCGAAAAAGACTACATGCATTCATCCTATCTATGCCCCTCATGATTTTATACACCTCAATAAATTCACCCTTCATTCTCTTGTGTTCCAAGGAATAAAGTCCTATCCTGACAACTTCTCCCAATAACTCAGGCCTAATAGTCCTGGCAACATCCTCATAAATCTTCTTTGCACACTTTCCAGTTTAACTATGTCTTTCCTATAACAGGGTGACCAAAACTGTACACAATACTCCCATGTGCGGCCTCACCAACGACTTATACAACTGTAACATAACGTCCCAACTCCTATACTCAATGCCTGGACCAATAAGGCCAGCATGCTAAATGCCTTCTTTACCACCCTGTCCTCCTGCGACGCCACTTTAAACGAACTATGTACTTGTACTCCTAGGTCCCTCTGTTCCACAACATTCCTCAGGATCTTATCATTAAATATATTAGTCCTACCTTGGTTTGACTTTCTAAAGTGCAACACCTCACACTTATCTGTATTGAATTGCATTTGCCAATCCTCAGCCCAATTCCCCATCTGATCAAGATCCTCTCTGTAATTTTTGATAACCTTCTTCGCTATCAACAGTACCTCCTAATTTTGCATCATCCGCAAACTTCCTTGGACATTCACGTCCAAATTGTTTATATAGATAACAAATAACAAAGGTCCCAGCACCGACCCCCGTGGCACACCACTAGTCACAGGCCTCCAGTACAAGAAACAGCCTTTAACCATCACCCTCTGTTTCACACCATTCAGCCAATTTTGAATCCAATTAGCTAGCTCTCCCTGGATCCTATACAACTTAAATTTCATGTCTAGCCTACCATGTGGGACCTTGTCAAAGGCCTTACTGAAGTCCATATACACAACATCCACTGCCATACCCTCATCTATCCTCTTGGTACCTCTTTGAAAAACTCTAAAAGATTTGTCAGACACGACTTCCCATGCACAAATCCATGCTGACTATCCCTAATCAGACCTTGACTATCCAAATGTTGATTGATCCTGACCGTCACTATCTTTCCAATAACTTGCCTCCCACTGATGTCAAGTTCAAATGCTGATTTTTTTTAGAAGGCAGGAAAGAAGAGGATGGGATATTTCTTTCCCAGTCACACAGAATGTGACTTGTTGCTTTTAATTACTGAGGTGGGACAGAAACTGAAATAATTGCAAAGAGACCAGTATCCTGTCACCAAGTCACCCTTTATTCACACGTGGAGAGTCCTTGCCACTGATCCAACTCCCTCAGAGCCAGCTCCAAGAGTGAACAAGATGTTTGACACTCCTGTTGTTATCTGCCAGCCAGGGCTCTCTGATTGAACCAGATTAACAGCCCCAATCAGGGAACTCATATTCTATGAGGTCCATCTGGCTGACCTTGTTACAATCACCACAGAAACTGAATTGAAGCAATTCAAAATGGAATTCCAAGAAAAATTCATGCAGATTAGGGAGTGCATAATATATTCAAAGACTTTGGACTTAGCTAGGTTGGCTACAGGTTGTATTTTGCAAGGAAGGATGTGTTAAAGGCTTTTTTTGTTGAGGATTATATTGATGATAGCTGACTTGAATGAAATGGGACAGAAGAGAGGAAACCATTTGAGGCATTGGTAGTTGGATTTTTGTTAAGCAAAAAGAGTTAAAAGGCTTTTGGGCTAGGTGCGGTTGTAGATTTGGCATTACAATCAGGATCAGCCATGATCTTAGTGAATGGCAAAGCAGGATTGAGGGGATGAATGCCCTCTTCCTGCTTCTGATGTGTGCATTCCTTTTCATTAGCCTGGGAATCAGGAAGGGGAAATGGATAGTCAGCTGCTTATTGGGAATAGGGTCAAGGGAGTGGAAGATGGGCCTCAAGATAAACCCAGAGAAGCCATGGGGGGGATAGGCTCGAAACTGGAGAAAGGTGCACACTTAGGGCAAGGACTTTGTCAGTGGAGGTAAGCTTGGAAGAAATTTGGTTCAGTGGGCTGAGAGACTTAACACAACTATGTATATATATATGATTGAGCATACCACAAATTCACTGTGTGATAAAATACTTCAGTGAGTTTAGATAACAACATTCTTGATCTGTGAAATGCATGATCATGTCTCATAGTAACATATTTTTCTGTTTAATTCAGATAGAAATTAATAGAATGTAATATTCAGTAAATTATGTCAAAATTATATCTAAGAAATTATGCAGAGAATTAATGTAATCATATGCTGAAATTGAATCATTTTGTTGGCAAGTTGCATCCTTAAGTGGACACTGCAGAATCTATGAAATGGTGATGTCCAACCTCCTGTGGCTATCGTATAGTAGTTACAGTTAGACTGCCTCCCTATTAAGTGCATACTTTTTTTTACAGCTTACTTCCAGAAACTCTAGTTGGCCCAAATTGCTACATCCACCTACTGGCATTTTATCGACAGTTGCTTGCTGATGCGCTTCATAAAGACAGACTTAATGTGCAAAAAGCTGGTGAGAGCACAAACTAAAAGCCACTACCTCCAAAAATGAAAGTTACTGTGTGTTTTGACTGCTTTCAATGTGAGAAAAAGCTAATGCAAAGCTGTTTATGTTAGTTATTAATTTTGTAAGTTGATTGTGTTTTGGAACCATATCTTTAAAATAGAATTTAAAAAGCCACCTTTTTTAGAGATACCAATTAGCCCCCATGTTGCTGTTTGAAAAAGCTGAGATAGTTGTGAATTCCTCAGAATAATCGCCTTCCTGTTTTCATGACCAAAGCGGATAACTTCTCATTTAATCATGTTATACTGTGAACAGTCTTGCAGAAAACCCATGATGTGGTTGTACACCACCTGCACTTTCAGGGAGTGGAAGAATTTCCTGTATACAAAAGTGTCAGGTTGGTGAGTTGAAGTGTTTATGGCGATATGAGTGCAGTTGGTAACCCTTATACTTAAGGAAGGCCTGCTAATTCAGCAAATCCTCTTTTGGATCGTAGGTCCAAAGTCCCAGATTAACCTAAACCACTTTCAGCACTCGTTCTTTGTACATGATCACCACAGTCAGGCCTACATCTACTTACCATTCTCCTTTGTTTACTTGGTGAGTGCTGTGTTGCCATCAGCATGTAACCTTTCCCCTCTCTCTGTCCTCACATTATGGACTCTCACATACCTTTATCATACAATTTTGTGAAGGTGCGGCCCCTGTTTTGCAGCATTGCTGCCACAAGACACAGTGTTTTCTTATCTGGGAATCTCTACTAGCTGGCAACTGTGTGCCTTTGTCATGAAGAGCAAAAATATGTGCCCTTTGAAGGCCACTGACTGCACTCTCCAACTCCTTTTAAGTTGTCAGCAGCACACCTGTGATTTAACTTGTGGACGTTCTATGGCACTTGTTGGAAATTTTAAAAGCTCCGTAAAATAGTACCTGACCTTTCTGAAAAATTGAAATGGACCTAAACCTTCTTCATAATTGTATAAAACCCATGAGTTGTGTTTCAGAAACCTGACTGATGTAAATCGTTTCTAACTGAAGGGAGCTGCCATCATGAACTGCACATGTAAAGTACATTGTGTTCTGTTACCCCTAGCAAAAATATTGAGTGTCAGGTTGAGGGTGGGACTTGTGGAATCTGAGCTTCAGTACAATGTTGGCTAAGGCATTGAGATTTACTGTGCCCACAAAAATTCTCCTTGAGCATCCAAAGCCCCAGAAAAGTGTTGAGAATGTTGGATTGTTGCTTGGTGTGGTTTTACCCTCTCCATTTACTTCCAAGAGATTTTGGATCTCGAAATAGCTAATCGTTATTTATACCTGTATACAAGCCCACTGTGATTGCCATTGCCTAGAAAATGGGAGGGGAAGGGTTTCTAAGATATCCCTGAAAGCATTCAGACAAGGTTAGTTTGCGTCCAGGAGAAAGAAGACAGCTAGAATGCAAGTTCCTCTCAGTATCAACTGTGTCTGAGTGCAAGATTTTTTTTGATTGTTTTCACATAATACCTATGGATACTGGGTGGTTGTCTATGGGTAAGGGGCATGGAGATGGAATGGGGTTGCCATTGAAAGATAGGTGAATGGAGTGGAGGGCATAGAAACATAAGAAAATGGACAGGATTAACCATTCGTCCTTCGAGACTGCTGCCCCATTCTGAATGATCATGGCTGGACACCCTATTCAGTACAACAAGGTGCAGGGCTGGATGAACACAGCAGGCCAAGCAGCATCATAGGAGCAGAGAGGCTGACGTTTCGGGCCTAGACCCTTCATCAGAAAAGGGGGAGGGGAAGGGGGTTTTGAAATAAATAGGGAGAGAGTGGGAGGCGGATAGAAGAGGGATAGAGGAGAGGATAGGTGGAGAAGAAACAAACAGGTCGAAGAGGCGGGGATGGGGCCAGGAAAGGTGAGTGTAGGTAGGGAGTTAGGAAGGGGATAGGTCAGTCCAGGGAGGACGGACAGGTCAAGGGGGCGGGATGAGGTTGGTCGGTAGGAGATGGAGGTGCGGCTTGAGGTGGGAGGAGGGTATAGGTGGGAGGAAGAACAGGTTAGGGAGGCAGGGATGAGCTGGACTGGTTTTGGGATGCGGTAGGGGGAGGGGAGATTTTGAAACTTGTGAAATCCACATTGATACCATTGGGCTGCAGGGTTCCCAAGCGGAATATGAGTTGCTGTTCCTGCAACCTTCGGGTGGCATCGTTGTGGCACTGCAGGAGGCCCAGGATGGACATGTCGTCTGAGGAATGGGAGGGGGAGTTGAAATGGTTCGCGACTGGGAGGTGCAGTTGTTTATTGCGAACCGAGCATAGGTGTTCTGCAAAGCGGTCCCCGAGCCTCTGCTTGGTTTCCCCGATGTAGAGGAAGCCACACCGGGTACAGCGGATGCAGTATTCCACATTGGCAGATGTGCAGGTGAACATCTGCTTGATGTGGAAAGTCTTCTTGGGGCCTGGGATGGGGGTGAGGGAGGAGGTATGGGGGCAGGTGTAGCACTTCCTGCGGTTGCAGGGAAAAGTGCCGGGTGTGGTGGAGCTGGAGGGGAGTGTGGAGCGGACAAGGGAGTCACGGAGAGAGTTGTCCCTCCGGAAAGCAGATAAGGGTGGGGAGGGAAAGATGTCTTTGGTGGTGGGGTCGGATTGCAGATGGCGGAAGTGTCGGAGGATGATGCGTTGGATCCGGAGGTTGGTGGGGTGGTACGTGAGGACGAGGGGGATTCTTTTTTGGTTCTTATTGCGTGGACGGGGTGTGAGGGATGAGGTGCGGGAGATGTGGGAGACACGGTTGAGGGCGTTCTCGACCACCGAGGAGGGGAAGTTACGGTCCTTGAAAAACGAGGACAACTGAGATGTACGGGAGTGGAATGCCTCATCCTGGGAGCAGATGCGGCGGAGGCGAAGGAATTGGGAATAGGGGATAGCATTTTTGCAGGAAGGTGGGTGGGAGGAGGAGTATTCTAGGTAGCTGTGGGAGTCGGTGGGCTTGAAATGAATATCGGTTTCTCGGTGGTTGCCCGATATGGAGACAGAGAGGTCCAGGAAGGGGAGAGAGGTGTTAGAGATGGTCCAGGTAAACTTAAGGTTGGGTTGGAAGGTGTTAGTGAAGTGTATGAACTGTTCGAGCTCCTCGTGGGAGCACGAGGCGGCGCCGATACAGTCATCAATGTAACGGAGGAAGAGGTGGGGTTTAGGGCCGGTGTAGGTACGGAAGAGGGATTGTTCCACGTAACCTACAAAGAGGCAGGCGTAGCTTGGGCCCATGCGGGTACCCATGGCTACCCCCTTTTCCACGTAACCTACAAAGAGGCAGGCGTAGCTTGGGCCCTGGCCTGCTGTGTTCATCCAGCCCTGCACCTTGTTGTCTCGGATTCTCCAGCATCTGCAGTTCCTACTATCTCTGACCCTATTCAGTACCCTGTTTCTTGCTTTTGCCCCATACCCTTTAGTCCTAAGAACCATATATACCTCTTTCTTGAAAACATTCAATATTTTGGCATCAAACGCTTTTTGTGGCATAGAATTCCACAGGCTCACGACTCTCTGAGTGAAGGAATTTCTTCTCATCTCAGTCCTAAATGGCCTACACTATACTGTGACCCCTATTTCTAGACTCCTTAGGTGTCATTGGGAACATACCTCCTGCATTAAACCTGTCTAGTCCTGTTAGAATTTTGTAAGTTTTTATTAGACTCCCCCCTCATTTTTCTAAACTCTAGTGAATATAGTCCAAACATCAAGTTTCTTTTCATACAACAGTACTGCTATTCCGGGCATCAGTCTGCTAAATCGATGTTACACTCACTCCATAGCCGAAACATACTTCCTCAGATAAGGAGACCAAAACTGCGTACACTACTCCAGGGTGTGGTCTTACCGAGACTGTGTACAATTGGATCAAGACATCCCTGCTCTTGTACTCATATCCTCTTGCTGTGAAGGACAAAATACTGATTTTCTTCCTCACTGCCTGCTGCACTTGCATGCTTACTTCCAGTGACTGGTGTAAAAGGACACCTGATGAGGTTTCACCTCTCCTTTTCCCAATTTATCACCATTCAGATAATAATTCACCTTCCAATTTTTGCGACCAAAGTGATTAATCTCACGTTTATCTACATTTGTACTTCATCTGCCATGCCTTTGCCTATCTCCTTAACATGTCCAAATCACTCTCTCAACTTCTACAAATCAATTTCCATGGACGAGAGAGCTTAACAGATTTTTTATACAACTGGACTGAAGTATCAGAGAACAGAGGCCTAATTAGCCTCCCTTAGCATGCGCCTGTCTCCATGTCCATCACTGAACTGCCTTATGAACAGCAGGCCCGATTTGTTTTCACAATTCGCCATGGCTAGGCTCCCCCCACTTCCAAACTGGAATACAAATTGTATACTGGGATTGTTTCCACAAAGAAGGATCTGCTGAATCACGAAGTTTCCTGCCTTGATGGTTAATATACTGCCCTTTGGTTTTGGACAATGTTGAGGAATAGCATACATATGACAATAAGATCCTTTGATAACAGTATGGAACCGTACTGAGAAGCCATTGTACGTGATTCTCTGGCTAGGCTGGATAGATAAGAATCGAATTGTCAAGTGGTATACAGTTCCTCCCAGTTGGATTATGGTTAAGAAGAGTTGTGGAGGATGTTGTGCTTAACGGTGCAAATTGCAGACAAGTCAAGGAGGACAAGACAGGATAGTTTTAAAACAAAAAATAACAATTCTGGAGAATTCTGAAGAAACTCAGCAGGTCTGGTAGCATCTGTGGCGAGAGAAACAGAGTTAATGAGTATCAGTTCTGGAGAATCATTCAGATAAGTTTATTTGTTTCAGATTTCCAGCATTTGCAGTATTTTGCTTTTATTTGAGGGTTAGTTTTACTGCTTTGTCATAGGATATCGTTTCTGTTTTGTGAAAGCCAATTTGAAGGATTCAAACGAAGATTTCATCACTCCTTTGGCAAACAGTTCCTTACTTCAGTGTAAAGAATCTTTTCCTAATCTTTGGCCTCGCTCTCCTGTTAACAACTTTCAATAAACATCTGCTTGATACTGATTTCATAACTAGAGGAGTTGTCTTTTACTATACCACCATACCAAAACCTCAGAATATTAAATCGTCTCAGCCTTCTAAGTGCCAAGAAAAGATAGCCTTAACATTGCAAATTTCTCCACATTATGGCCACTCCTTTCTCTTGTACAAGGGCCACCTCTTCACTGTTTCCTGCGTTAAGATGATAAACTTGGCTAAAACATAGCTATTACTGTTTATTCCCATTTTACTGTGGCAACTCGATCAACTACACAATGCATAATACTCCCCACCCAAACTATTGTAACTCTGCAAAAGGACGCTACTGGTTTTAGACCAGTTGGGCCAGTTCTTGTACCTTTTAATTTACTTTGAATGAAGAGACTTTTGATGTGCTATAATAATGTGCACCTTTCAGCGTTGATTTACTTTATATACTTTCTTTGCAGATCTCATCTGTAACCCAGTCCTGGCGACGTTTCCAGAACTGCTGGAACAAACTGATATTTTAGATGCTCTTAGGGTAACTACCATTTTCTGATCATTATCAAAACTGCAGTTTATTGCAACAAGTTACTTCCCGTTTGATAACGTCACCCGCCCTATATTCACCAATACAACCAATAGAATCCTATGCAAAGTTTGCAGGTCATGACCATCTTTAGGTCCTTCTTACCAGTCTTTCATTCTCCATTTTATACCAGCTTTTAGAATGGAGTATTCCAACAAATCTAAAATCCACGCCACCCCA